TGATGAATTAAGTACATTGTTTTAAGTCCCTGTTCTTATTTGCTCCAAATTACGAAATGCATTCCAACTGGCCCAAGTGTGAGGAGAGGATATTTAATCCTTTCCTTTCAGGCACTTCCTTTTCAAAAATTTGCTTCCCACCCTTTATAATGATCACAGCCAGAAAAAAAAATGTAGATAATTCCCAATGGATTCTTAGAAGTAAGGGCATATAATTCAGTAGATAGAGACACATGCACAGAAAAGGCTTTTTGTAATTGCCCAATATTGTTAAGAATAAAAAGTCTAGGCTTTGGAAGGAAAAGAATAGATAGCAAACAGTAGGAAGTGAAGATTAAGTGTTCTACAAATTCATACAGTTGTAGATATTGATTGACAGCACCATAGAATAAATTGGAAAATTTATGTGAAATAGAAAACCATAGCTAATTAGCTTATTTAAAAATAAACTATACCTGATTTACTAGATACAATGTGTTTGATCTTTTTAAATTCTTATGGAAATCTAATGAGTTTTAAAAGTTTAAGGCAAATTAAAGTAATACTGAAATAATAAAAAGAATTATCAGTCTTAAGCTAGATGAAATGTTATTTCAGTACACACATCTAGCTTTTTGATATGAAAAAAAAGTCTACTTACACTGTCCAGTCTTTTGGATAGCTCTTTCTTTTCTTTTTTCTTCTGTCTTAATTCATTTTCTAGATCCAATATTTTCAACTGAAAAGATCGCTCCTTAGAATTAATTTTTCCTAGTTCCTCTGCTAACTGTAAGAATTAAACATCTTAAGGTTCACTTGAATTACATAACTTTTCAACTTCAACAGTAAACTATTTTGTTTCTGTGAGTGGTCACCAACATGCTTGTCTGTTATAGAAATCTATATTTTTAACAGAAAAATGTATTAAAAAATAGATTGAAATGATATATTTATGATTTGTTTACATTAACCTTCAAGTTTAATATGAATATTTCCCAAAAGACTACAACCGTTTTCAATAATCACTCAAATAGAAATGATACTAATTTTATAATTTTGACTGCCAACTTCTTGGCTCAGACTAAAATATCAAATTTTACTTTTGTTAAAGCTGTATCTATCTTTGAAACCAAATATTGACTGAACCTTTGTCCACTTAGAGAAACTAATTGAACATTTTTTCCTAGAGAGGAAGGTTATGATCCAGAAAAGAATTTTGGTTCAATCCTTGCTATTAGTTATATTATCAGAGAAAGAAAAGCTCCCTTTGTGGATATTCCAGCAAAATCAATTTGCTGCAATTTGGTTTTTTAAAAAGATAATTAGTTATTTTATCTTATGTCTCTCTGACTACATTTTTGTATTTGTTTATCAGGATGATTTTTTTTTTCAAAATGAGGATTTAAAATTTATTTTTCTCCATGCTTTCCTTTTTTCATGGATTAATTTGAATTTAAGCAGATTTTCAGTATGTTTCTGTAGGAGCTACAAAACCTGGGGGTGGAGTTAAAAGAGAGATCAGCCTAAAATCCCTACATAGACACGAACAGATTAAATCCAACACCCATTGAATTCTGTGGACCCTTATCTAAATCCAAGCAGATGCTAACTGTTAGTTGAGAAGATTCTAAACCGTTAAGTAATAAATCAGTTTAATTCAGCCTTCAGGTGGAACCTGGTCTTTTACACCTGAATAAACTGTCTAATACATTATATAAGAACATGCGTGGAGATCAAATAAAAAGGGAATCAAAGGATTTTCTCTAAGATGGAAATTATTTAAAGGATAGATACCCAGACAGAGGCATGCTTTAGACGTACTAAAGATTAGGCATACTGCCATTTATTTTAGTTGTCTAAAGGCCAATAGGAATAAGAACCACTAGGTTTCAGATAAACTGAGCAATTTATTTCAAGCATAGTTCTTTTTTATGCATCTTTTATACTCCACCTTTACATTTCACTACAATGTTAAGAATTTAAAATTGAATATGTCTTTACACATTCCTGAATGCATTTTCCTTTCATAAAAGGCACATTGCTAAATATATATATTTTGCCCTTTTTAAAAACCAAATTTCACAATAGCAGGAAATCCAAAAGATACTTATATTACGATGTGCAATTAGTTTAGAGGAACAATTAGGATGGGTTTTGATCTAGGACTTTTGCACAGGAAGGGAGAAAGGAAATTGGAAAGGAAATTCTTTTGTAATATAACAATTGTTCTGTGATTATATATAATTCTCCTTTAATCGTAATCATTGTGTGTGTGTATCCTCGGCTTACAACAGTTCATCTAGTAACCATTCAAAGTTACAATGGCACTGAAAAAAGTGACTTCTGACCATTTTTCACCTTACGACCGCTGCAGTATCCCCATGGTCATGTGATAAAAATTCAGATGCTTGGCAACTGACTCATATTTATGACGGTTGCAGCATCCCAGGGTCACATGATTCCCTTTTGTGACCTTCTCACAAGAAAGGTCAAGGGGGAAGCCAGATTCACTTAACAACCATATTAATAACTTAACACCTGCAATGATTCACTTGACAACTGGGCAAAGAAAGGATATAAAATGGGACAAAACTCACTTAACAAGTGTCTGACTTAGCAACAGAAATTTTGGGTTAAATTGTATTCATAAGTCGAGAACTATCTGTATAACTATCTGTAATTATCTGAAACGTATCTGAAACGTATTATTCTTAATTTCATTAACAAAACATTCACCATCAATATTAATTTTACCTGTTTCCTTCCATCTTCCAAAGCAGCTTCTAGCTGTCTTGCTAAAGCATCATATTCTGTAAGTTTCTGTTTAAACTGCAGTTCGGTTTTCTGAAGGGTATCTTCTTGAGTCACCAACTGATTTTCCAGTTCTGTGTTTTGCAATTCAATTTCTTCTAGCTTTCTTTTAAGTCAAATATATATACAAGCGTAAGAATACCACACAGAGAAATAAGTAGGAATAAGTAGCTTTGACTGGACTACTGCAACGTGCTCTACATGGGGCAGCCCTTGAAGAGCATTCGGAGACTTCAGCTTGTCC